GTACCTGGAAGAAGGAAATAAACCACACAGACAGGTTTGTTTTGTGAGGGAATGATGTTCCTGTTGTTATTGAGGTTAATAATGGTAATGATCTAGTATGGCTGGGTCAGCCTGGAAAGACGATTTCTACATAATCCTTTTTCATAGAGGCTTCTCTGGAGAAGTCAAGGATTCCCTGACTTGGCTGTGATTGGGGAGAATAAAATAAAGACCTTCCTCTCTCCCCCTGTCCTTTCCTCTCCCACTCCTTGAGAATTCCAGCAAAAAGGGAACCTTATGAAGTCTCCATGCCCCCCCCCCCCATCATTTTCCTCTGCTCTCTTCAGTTCACTAAAAGGCACTGTCTTTGGGCATTGGGCTTTTGCGGGGCACCCTTCTTATGAAGTTCGGCAGGCAGTTACCAGACCAAATCTCAATGAATCCTGCCTCTGATCCTGGAGAAGACCCAGGATTCCCTTCCCTGCTCCATGGAATTCTCCCTCTATCCTTAGCCTTTTCCAGTCTCTGCCTTCTTTGGTCCTGGGTGCCTGATCCCCTGGGTCTCTGATAGCTCAGAGGCCATGAACAGATGAGGGCAGATGCCCTCATCAACCCCAGAAAGGGATCACAGCTTCCTATCATCACCTTAAGTCTGAGAGCACCAGGCCAGGGAGCCTTCCATTTCATAAACAAACCTAAAACCTGAATCTTTCAAAACCTCATTTAGGTTCCTCTAAAAGTAAAAGTCCTTCCCCTATAACAGGAAAGTTCAGGTCCAGCAGCACAAGCTTCCTGCACCCTTAGTCAGAATTTTTAACAACAACAACAACAACAACAACAATATTTATAATAAGAAGAATTAAAGCTTGCATCAAAGGGAGAAAGGAACACCCTAGCCCAAGTTTTACAGGGGTTATAATCCAACAGCCCTGGACAGGAGTGGGGGTCAGTGAAGCCAGGATGAGCAAAAAAGGGGGGGGGGACCCAACCTCTTCTAACTAACAATTTCTCCAGCATAAAAATGAAACATCAAATTCGTTAGCCCAGGGCCTTCATTTTTCCCCTTCCACATTATAACTAGTTATTGAACTCGCTGGAAGATCTAAAGGCCATTTGCGAAGAGACAAATTTCAATGGAGTTTCCCCATCAATAACCCCATGGCAGTGACCTATTGGAACAAGTCAAACACCCGAGGTGAAATGCAGGTCACTCTGTCTAACCAATATTAAAATGCGGCCACTTTTTAAAAAGCCACTTTAAACGAGATTTGAGGAAAATTGAATTCCAAGCAAGGCAAGGCAAGGAGGGGGAAATCCATGAGAGGACCTTGCCTATGGTCTTCGAACAAACAAGGGAAATTTATCTTTAATATTTTAAAGGGGGGTAAATTAACATTCCATGATTGCTTTTTTTTTTTCTTGAGACTATAAGCAATTCCAGGAGGGAAAAAAAAGGGGGTTGAGAATTTTCTAGTGACACGTCTGGGTTATTAAAATCATTTTAGACCAATTCATTACTTTTACTGACAAGAGATTTAAGAAAAAATCAATTAAGTATTTGCATATTCTTTTGCATACATTAGCCCTGCCTGCTGGCATTAGAAAGGGACAAAACACACATATATACATATACATACACACACAGAGAAAAAAATGGGATAAGAGTATATTGCTTTAGGTTGGGGGTTTCAAGTTGCTTGGAGAAAAAAATGAAATGAATTATTTGATTGCCATCTAAAAGTCCATTTATTTCAGGAAAAGAAAAAAGACATGTTGCGATTTTTAATCTCTAATATAACAAAAACCACATATATACGCCTAAAAAACAATCCTGCACTTCTGAGAATGGGAAAAGGAATGACTCATTTTCCTTCTCTTTGCCTTCCAAATCCTACGTTGGTTCTCCCATTTATTTTTCTCCCTAGGAAAATTCAGGGACTCTGAGAGGTGGATTTTAATGCAGCACAGAATCTGTGTAGCCGCTGAGGTCTCTCAGCCGGCAGCTTGTTACTGGGGAGGGGAGGAATATGGGTTATCCAACGGTCAGTATGGTAATCCGGGCACAATAAGGCCTCACACACAATGGACACATATTTTTCTTCAGCGATGTCAGAAGGGAAGCTCTTTGTACTGAAACATGTTTCCGAAAGAGAAACCAGATCAAGATTTAGAAAGGAGATGGGGTAGGGGCATTCAGAGAGCATTTGGAAGCTGGCAAAAGGTAGTCAGGAAAAAAATTAAAAATAAAATTGGGATAGAGAGAGGTGGAGGGCAGAGCCCGGTTGGAGAGATCCTTGGATTGGCAAGGCCGGAGGCAGGAGGGTGAAGCACAAAAGGAGGCAGAACCAGATACTATGCTTCATCACAGGCTAGAGCCGCCTTAGTGCCTCCCCCACCCCAATTAAGCCAATGCTAAGTGCAGGAGTCTTCCGATAGGATTTGATTTCTGTACTGGTAGTAAGCGAAAATGTTTGTATGTATGTGTGTGCATGTAGTCTGGCTTGCTATTTTCCCCATGTGATAGGCGACTTCTTTGCTATTAAGCTATAGGAGCCCAAAGAGAGTTTTTTGGTAAATGATGTAGTGAGTGTGGGCATATTTGGGGGAATCTCCCAGATTTCACTTTATGGATGTGCATGTTGAATTAGCTGTGCAAACCTGGAATAAGAACCCCACATATTTGTGGCAGCATAAGGATGCATTTAATATATTAATAAATATTAATAGTATATATGCATATATATTGGTTAGCCATAATAACCAAAGACAGACTTGACATTTAGTTGGAGGCATCTGAACTCTCTGTATCTACTTACATATACTGGCCCAAAGTGGGTTTCATGCTTCTGATCCCTCCATCCCTTGAGCCACCTGCAGGAGCTCAGAATCCTGGGGAGTAAGCGCATAGGATGGGCAATGCCTTGGGAAGAACTCCCTAACAATCCCAAGAGGGTGAAGAGATGAAGAAATGAGGGTTGAGGTGGAGGCTGGGCTGGTAGAGGGTGAGTGTGAGGGCTGGGAGGAGGGGGCCAAGACCTCACCTTGTCAGGTGGGGAATAGAATATCTGGGCCAGGTTGGGGTGAAGGTAGCCTGATCCAGGTGCTGGCCTGGAAGGGAGGTTGGGGGTGGAGCTGGAAGGTTTTCTCTTTCTCCAGCCACCCCCACACCCCCACCTGAGACTCCCCAGAGCTTTGGCTCTCCCCTTGGGGGAATCTGGAGCAATGGTTCAGACTTTTTATGTAGGTCAGCATTCAGCATTGGTTTCCCTTTGCCCTCTTCTTGCTCCCACCCCCACCACCAATAATTACAAAAAATAAAACCCTCACACACTGTAAACCACTCTCAACCAAACAGCAGCCTTCCTCTCCTCAAACTCTCAAGTTCCTCTTCCAACTAAACCAGCTAGTCCTCACAGAAAAGGGTCCCAGATGGGAGTGGGCAGGGGTTCTCAATCAACAGTGGAAATTTGGGAGTCTCCTCCAAGAGATGGTACAGGCATTCCTGTTCCCTCACCCACCTGATGGCAGCAGGGCAGGGCACTGTCCTCTTGGGGAGAAGGTATCCAGGGACCTGATCCCCTGGCACCTGGGGTGAGGATAGGAGGCCTGAGCATTTGAGGAGGGAAGGTAGCCAGGAGCCCAGGCAGAGAATCAGCCCCTTTGGTCATTAGCTGTGGCCCAGCGCCTCTTATTCCTGCCCTCAGGGTGAGCCCTGATTTAGAAGTAAGGACCCTCTCTTGCATCCCAAAGGTGGTGAGAGACAGGTTGAGAATCTCCCGCCTTCAATCACCCTCTCACAGGGGCTTTATTTTTTCTCTTTCCTTTCCTCATTCCCTTAATTGCAGATGTTCTAATTAAACCCTCAAATAGTTGTTATGCCATTTTAAAAGGTACTTATTCAAGTGTCAACCAGGCTGGGCTGGGAGGAGGCAGCGTAGGGCGGCGAATTAAAGGTAGATTGACTAATCACGGCGGCGATCATAATAATAAAATCAGAGGGGAAAAAAATCACATTACGACTTTTCGTGGAAAGGAGGGAGCAGGCAGCCAGCGGCCGCCAGCCCTGCGCCGCCTCCGACACAAAGAGTGCGGGCGATTCCGCGAGACTGATTTATGACGTTTTACAGCCCTATAAAAGCTGTAGCGACGAGGCAAGCGCTCCTACCACCGCTGGCAGATTTAGTCTAATAAATAAAACATAAACAGTTAACTTTATGTGTCACTTTTATTGTTATCAAGTAAAATATAGCTGAGCCTCGGCAAGCTATGATTTTAAACTATAATTGTTATCAAGTACAACAAGGAGACCCAGCTCCCTCCCTGGGCTCTCCCTTATGCCACCCCCCCAACTCTGAGTTATGGAATCAGTTAATTGGAATTGGTGGCAGGACGTGGCCACCCCTATCTGAGGGGGGGTTGAAAATAGCCCTTCTTGCCACCCCCCTCCATGGCCCTGCCACCTGGCCACCAGGGTATTCCTGCAGGTTGGTGGCAGAGAGAGGGGAGGGAGCAGGAATGGACTGGAGCCACCCCCCCCCACACACACACACACATACCCTGAGGTGTGCCCAGCCTCTCCAGCTTGGTGAGCTCACCCCTCAGCTTTTGGAAAGCAGCCTGGAACTGGCCTTTGGGAATGTGTGTTTACATGTAAACACATGTGTTACATGGATACAATCCCTGGCCCCAAGCAGGCTCTACCCACACAAACCTCCCTCTTAGCTAGGTCTGCCCTCTGTGGAGATGAAGAAGGAAGAGCTCCTAAGGCCTTGGCTGGACACCATCACGGGGGGCACTGACTCCTGACAGATCTACCTCCTCCTTGCCCCAGTTCCTCAGGAAGCAGCCTTGGAGGTAGTTGTCAGAAAGCAGCAGGCCAGACAGAATGGAGAGTAGAAACAGCAACCAGCAGTAGAAGAAATCCTCTGTTCCTGGGCTAGGATTGGGAGGGTCAGTGGGTACTAGGGAAGGGCAAGGCTTCTGAACTCTGCTTTTGCCAACCACTTCCTGTCTCTCTTCAGCGGGGGCTCAACCCCCAGACCTCCAGAAATGACGTCAGAATCATTTGCATCCTGCTGCCTCTACTTGCCTGGTCCAGCTGGGACCCTGCCTCGCCGCCCGGGCCAGAGGGTTGGGTGAGTGTGTATACTAGGGGGAGGGGGCTGGACTCTGGTATCCTTGGATGGGGGGCACCCCAGGTTCTTCAGCCTCCTGGGCTCAGCCTGGGCTCCTCCCCATCCAACCTCCACTCCAGTCCTCATTCAACTTCCTCTTCCTGCGAAAGAGGGGCGCTGCCCGGTGACCTACACAGACTGAGACAGGATCGCCATGAATGGAGACCTTTGGAGAAGCTCGGGAGCTGAGGCCCAAGGGGCCCATCAGAGGCCAAAGGGGAGACTTTACGAAGGGGCTGAATCACAGTCTCCCGAAAGCCCCTCAATGCCCAGGCTTTGGAGGAAAGCTGGGGGCTTCATCTCATTTTACAGGGGAGGGCTGTCAGTCTTCGGGGTGTTCATTAGGACACCTCAGCCCCTGCCAGCTAACCCTACATCACCACCACTACCACCCCAGCACCACCACCACCACCACCACACACACAAAAAAATTGGATACATTTTGAATAAAGCGAATCGGTTCCTTATCCGGGGACTGGGTTGCTCCGTGTGATTGGCCGGCGGAGTCACATGGTGAAAGTAACTTTACAGGGTCGCTAGCTAGTAGGAGGGCTTTATGGAGCAGAAAAACGACAAAGCGAGAAAAATTATTTTCCACTCCAGAAATTAATGATCATGAGCTCGTATTTGATGGACTCTAACTACATCGATCCGAAATTTCCTCCATGCGAAGAATATTCGCAAAATAGCTACATCCCTGAACACAGTCCGGAATATTACGGCCGGACCAGGGAATCGGGATTCCAGCATCACCACCAGGAGCTGTACCCACCACCGCCTCCGCGCCCTAGCTACCCCGAGCGCCAGTATAGCTGCACCAGTCTCCAGGGGCCGGGCAGTTCGCGAGGCCACGGGCCGGCCCAGGCGGGCCACCACCACCCAGAGAAATCACAGCCGCTCTGCGAGCCGGCGCCTCTCTCAGGCGCCTCCGCCTCCCCGTCCCCAGCCCCGCCAGCCTGCAGCCAGCCAGCCCCTGACCATCCCTCCAGCGCCGCCAGCAAGCAACCCATAGTCTACCCATGGATGAAAAAAATCCACGTTAGCACGGGTAGGCAACTTTGCTTTTTGCTCTCCCCCTCCCTCTCCTCTTCCCCAGAGCTCCCCACCCTCCCCGGCCCCCTCTGGCCCCCGTCCTCCTTTCTCTCCTTCCCCCTCTCTCTCCAGGAGCGACTCTGGGTTAGCACAATTGAACTGGATTTACGAGCGAGAATGGGTAATTACATCCCCCATAAATTTTATGGCTTAGCTACTCTGGGCAGTCCGAGCCATGTGCTACGATCTGTTATGTATGTGTGAAAACTATGCTCGCTTTCTAAGGGCGCATAAATAATTCAGTGTCGTTACAATGAGGATTCCCCTCTTATTACACTACAAAGTCTCCAGCTTCCTTCAACTTCTTTATAACCCATTTAGCTTGATGACTTTATTTCCACCACCCCCTCCTCCTGTTCCACAGAGCTGAGGTTGGGGTGAGGGTGGGGGGCGGGGAGCCTGCTGCCTCTGAACCCCACTATTTGCTTTCCCCCTCCCCATCCCCCAGTGAACCCCAATTATAACGGAGGGGAACCCAAGCGCTCGAGGACAGCCTACACCCGGCAGCAAGTCCTGGAATTAGAGAAAGAGTTTCATTACAATCGCTACCTGACCCGAAGGAGAAGGATCGAGATCGCCCACTCGCTGTGCCTCTCTGAGAGGCAGATCAAAATCTGGTTCCAAAACCGTCGCATGAAATGGAAGAAGGACCACCGACTCCCCAACACCAAAGTCAGGTCAGCGCCCCCGGCCGGCGCTGCGCCCAGCACCCTCTCGGCAGCCACCCCGGGCACTTCTGAAGACCACTCCCAGAGCGCCACGCCGCAGGAGCAGCAGCGGGCAGAGGACATTACCAGGTTATAAAACATAACTCACACCCTGCCCCCACCCCATGCCCCTATCCTCCCCTCACATACAAATTGACTCTTATTTATAGAATTTAATATATATATATTTTGGTTCTTTTCTCTCTTCTTCCAACCTTATCCCCTGTCAATTCCAAACAGACAAAACAGATAAACAAACAAGCCCCCTGCCCTTCTCTCCCTTCCACTATTAAGGACCCTTTTAAGCATGTGATGTTGTCTTAGCATGGTACCTGCTGGGTTTTGTTTTGTTTTGTTTTGTTTTAAGGCCATTTTGGGGGGTTATTTATTTTTTAAGAAAAAATGAAAAAAATTATATATTACAAGGTGTGATGGTCTGGTTTGGGTGAATTTCAGGGGAAATGAGGAAAAGAAAAAAGGAAAGATTTTTAAAGCCAATTCTCATCCTTCTCTCCCCCCCCCCCCCCCAACCTCTTTCCTTAGGCCTTTTGCATTTGAAAATGCACCAGGGGAGGTTAGTGAGAGGGAAGTCATTTTAAGGAGAACAAAGCTATGAAGTTCTTTTGTATTATTGTTGTGGGGGGAGGCTGGGAGGAGATGGGGGAAGACAGCAGACAAAGCTAAATGCATCTGGAGAGCCTCTCAGAGCTGTTCAGTTTGAGGAGCCAAAAGAAAATAAAAATGAACTTTCAGTTCAGAGAGGCAGTCTATAGGTAGAATCTCTCCCCCCTGTCTCCCATCGTGGTTATTGTGTTTTTGGACTGAATTTACTTGATTATTGTAAAACTTGCAATAAAGAATTTTAGTGTCGATGTGAAATGCCCCGTGATCAATAATAAACCAGTGGATGTGAATTAGTTTTACGTCAATGTCTGATGGTTTCTTTTTATCCCTCTCCTCCTTCTGGTCTGGTAACATCACACCTTCTCTATAGTTGCCTAAGTTTATTCTAAGCAAACACACAAATCTTAACTCTCAACTCTAGTTTTTCAATATCCTTAAAAGAACAAGTAAGAGGTTGGGACAAGGGATGCTAAGAAGAGGGGGTGTGGAAGATTAGGGCTGATTTCTCCTGTCCCTTCCCTCTGAGTCTGAAAAGAGGTCAGACTCTCCTGGGGGTACTTACAGTGGAGCTGGGGGGATGGAGGGGGTCTCACTTTTCTATAGTTAGGCATAGTGCCTTTTTTTTTTTTTCTATTTCCCTCTCCTACCTTCTCCCTTCTCCCTGCTAAGTAGGCCTGCCTAATTTTCAGACAAGAAGGCAAGTTTAGGTAGGAGGCAGAAGAGTTTTCATCTTTTAGGGCTCTTTTGGGATGAGGGATTAAGAAAGATGCCCCTTGAACATGTACATTCTCCTTAAAAGAAGAAAGATTTTGAGCTAGTGATTCTGAAGCAGCAAAGTGACCTGTCAGAATGGCTTCTCTGTTTGTTTAGACTTGGAAAGAAGGGTGAAGTGGAGGCCAGAGGCCTGGGAGGCCCCCTTGCATGGGTAGGCCTCAAAGCCTGATGCCTGGAGATAATGAAGAACAATTATTTTTTCCCCTAACTTTTATCATGGACCTGCCAGGTGTTGAGAAAAGATACAGGGAGAGGCAGGCACCATCCCTGTTCCTGCAACCTCCCAGGCCCCGGCAAGGCTGAGGGAAGGCTAAAACAAGGCTCTCTGGCTGTAAAATTTTTGTTTTAAAATTATTTTCTTGGAGCTAAAAAACAAATACAAAAAGAAGCAAAATAAGAAAACTGGTCTTGATTATCTGAATAGTTTATTTAAGCCAAAACTTCCTAAATAATTCTGGTTCTGAAGACTAAGATCTAAGCAAGACCTGCTCAAATTTTACTTGTTTGTTGGGAGAAGGTGGGAGAGGCAGTTGATGAGCTTCTCAGGCAGTGTATCCAAATTTTAGGATGGAGGACTATGGAAGTAAAAGGGAGAGGGAGGAGAGACCTCGGATGTGTAGGGGAGCCAGGGATACTCCTTTCCTCTCTCCTCAAATTCTGGAGTGAAAGGCAACAAGGGGACCAAGTTGTGAAAATCTGTTTTGTGGATTTATTTCCTTTTGCACCACTTGCTGGCTGGTTCTTGGGGTAGAGTGTGTGTGTGTGTGTGTGTGTGTGTGTGTCTGTGCGCGTGTGTGTGCACGCGCCCGAGCAAGCACGTGCACGCGCTTGTTGAGGGGAATCACTTGGTCCTGTAGGTCTACTTTCTCTTCCCTCAATGGTGCCCTGGAGACAGCACAACATGCTGCCTACAGTGTGAGGAAGCAGAGCCAACAATTATCTAGACTTATTTTATGTAATCAAGTGAATTAGGGGCCAAATCTGACTGTAGCTGCTGTCATCTTGAGGGAGTTGACTTTGGGGAAGGAAGAGAGGGTCTAGCTGTGCTTGGGAAAAGGGAAGGAAGGTCTGAGGGGTGGACCTGGGTATCTTTCCAAGCCTATAAGGAAGCTAAAATGGAAAGAGAGGGGTGAAAAAAGGAAATTAAGATCCATAGTCCTTGCCTAACTTTGCTCGTTTGGTTTTAGTGGAAAAGTGGAAGAGAAGGAAGCAGAGAGGGAAAATCACTGTCTTTTATTTCTTCAGCTTCTCCCTGAACTTGCTGAAGGAAAAGCAGCTTAAAAGAATTGGACAGTGTTTTATTTCCCTTATTTAGGGGCTCCAGTTTCTCCTTCCTCCTCTCACACATATACACATAGTCATTCTCTCTATGTCTCTATCTCTCTTGGTCTGAAACATCAGAAATTCATAATTCTTGGCCAATAAAACAAAACTAACCCCCTTTACATTTGAGTTTTTTAAGACTTTGGCCTCTGGCCTTCCCTCCAGTGGGCTACATTCTCTCCTTTTTACCCAAAGCTCTCCTTCGCCTTGGATCAGACCACCCAGAATGAGATCAGGCTGCTGGGGTTGGGGAGATAAGTGTAGGGGGCCAACCTGGGCCAGGGCCCTTAGCTCTGGCAGGTTTGATCCCCTGCTTCACCCAATGCCGCTGCAGCCTCACTGGGAAGCCCAGGGCTGAAGGCCGGGACTTTTTATTGAAGTTGGGTTGAGCAGTGGGGAAGGCTGGGGGTGAGGGGGGGGGGGCGGGTAGGACGCAGCCCAGGTTCACGTGGAGGACACAGCATTTTCTCTCCATTGCCTTTATATTCGGCAGCGCCTCTGACCTCTTCCCCACCCCCATCTCTGACCCACCCAAGCCAGCCCTGGCTCAGCTCCTGGTCTCCAGATAGGATGCCACTGCTTTTGTGGGGCTGGCGATTTCTTGCCCAGAGTAATGGGAGGCGAGGCGCATGAATGCCTGCTAGCGCATTGTATGTCTCTCTCCAATGGCCAAGTAAAAAGAAGACGGGAGTGAAACCACGACACCAATTTTCCAAGGTCCTTCTCTCCAAGCACCAGGAGATCCCCACAGGTCAAAAATCCCCTTGACATGTAAGTAGTTAGCACTTGATCTGTTCTGCGGGTGAGAGAAGCATAGCAGTTTCAATTTTATGTTTGCCATTCAATTTTTATCTCAACTCTTGTCTTGGGGAGGGAAGGCGGGAAATCCAATCCTGAACGGAGGGCTTCTGCTTGGGGGAAATGGAGTTTCTGCCCAGATTGGTGTACTTGAGGAGTGAAAAAACTTGGCTCAAAAAGGGGAGAGAGTTGAGAAAGTGAGCCTGGGGGAAAGGACAGAGCAACTTTGTTCCTTTGAGGGCTTCTCACCACTGTTTGCATGAAGTTTCCTACAAAGTTTTTTTCTGCAATCTGTGCATCAGCTTTTTTCATGCGTGGACTTGGTGGATTGCAATCCAGAGTGTATGTGTGTATTTGCGGGGATGGTAAGGAAAATAAAACAATTAAATGGTTCTCCAGAGCTTGGGGCCAGAGTAGCCCCTGCTAGGCACAGTTTGTCTGCTTTTCTAAGATTATGAGACAGTGACTACCAAGGGAGTCCTTGAGACTGAGGGTGCTATGATGAAAAGGAGCAGCGGGCTGGGACAATTTCACCAGCCTTTTCTCTGCTTTTTTGCCCAGTCCTGGGACAGTATGCTCTCACAAAGCCACTTCTCATGGTTCCCACAGCTTCTACCTGGCACCCCACCTTTGGAGACCTAATTCTAATTGAAATGTTCCTTTTTCAATAAACCGGTCTCAAGCTTGGAAAAAGAGATGGAGGATTCCCCCAACTCCAGCGGCCATCAGAGCAGAGGGAATATTTATTACCTCTCTGGATATTATTACCTAAGAATACAATTTTATGAACTTCCTAATCTGTTAGCTTGATTTATCTGGATGGGCAGGAGCCCAAAATAAACATTTGGGGGATTTGACAGAAAAGGAAGTCTTTGCCTCTGACCAATCTGTCTACTAGAACTGACCACCCCCTTTGGCCTGCTTTTTCTACACCCGGGATCACTAGCCTCATTTTAATTTTTCTCCTGCAGTGTGTACCGAGTTTTAGCTGCCTCTTGAGAATGAAAAATGGTAGGTGCATTGTTTGAACCAGAAACCTCAGCCACCTCAAAACCTGTGCCGTTTAAGGAGCTCAGATACCTTTTGGATTTGGGGAGCAGAGAAGAAACCAATGTTTGCTCACTGCCCTCCAGATCCAGGGGCCTCTTCTCAGAAATGGCTCTCCCTCCATTCCTCGGAATTTTTCTGCTCTTCTCTTTTGTGGCAGCTCTGTAGCTTCTTTGAACACAGGGTCCTTCCAAAAGCGAACCCACAGCCATGCAGGCAGGGGTAGGGGCCTCTGCAACTCTACCTTCCTGCTTCCAGTTCCTGCAGGCCCAGCCAGCTTATAAATCAGGGGGCCGGGGAAAACAAGGATGAGTAGGGAGGGTCTCAGAGTGTGTTTGAGGGTGAACAGGGTTACAGCGTCTAATAGTGGAAAGGGACAATTTAAAATTTCCAGTCCCCATCAGCAATTGCCAGAATCCGGAAGAGTAGGGTCCTCTGGGGTCTGCTCTGCAGCCGTGATGGGGTATGAGTCAGGCCGAGAGAAGTGTCAGCTCTACTCACTCCTCCTTTCTGACCCTCCTTTCCCAGCATCAGAGATTGTGAGAGCAAAGTATATTCGAACTTCTGGGGCAGAGAAACCCTAAAACGGAGCGTTTAGGGAGGCACTGCCAACTAACCCAACCTCAGGTTCCCACTCTGGCCTCTGGCTTCCCGGAAGCCGGGAGCAAGAGAATAGGGCACAAAGCGGCTTGCCTTCATGGGGGTCCCAGCTCTGGGATCTTGAGGATCGGGAAAGAGGACAAGCGGGGCAAAGGCGAGATGCAGAAGCCGGCGGCAGCCCGGCTCCACCTCCGGGTTCAGCGCCGAGTCTGCCTGGGGCGCGGAGTCGCCTTCAGCTCGGTCACGACCCCAGGCTCAGATCGAGGACAATAGGGACCTGGGCTGGGGTTGGGGGGCGGGCTGCGTGGCCGCCGAGACGGTTCAATGCGCAGTGAATTCCACTCCACACCCCTGGGGTCTGGTCCTTTAGAGCCCAAGCTTCCTTTTCTTTCCCTTAGTCCACCTTCCATTTTTTCATAAAAAATTGGGTGGACCGTGGCTGGTTTGGCTCAGCGGTTAGAGCGGTTAGAGCGTCGGCCTGCGGTGCAGAGAGACCGGGGTTCGGTTCCCGCTAAGGACAAGTACCTCGGTTGCAGTTCGTCCCCGGCCCTGGTTGGTCATGCAGGATGTGTCCCTTTCATGTCGATCTCTCTCTCTCTCTCTCTCTCTCTCTCTCTCTCTCTCTCTCTCTCTCTCCCTTCCGCTCTATCTGAACAAAAAATGAAAAAATGTCCTCAAGTGAGGATAAAAAAAAATTGAGTGGACTCTCAATTAATTGCTCTTTGACTGACCAATACCCCAGTGTTACCATCACCAG